CCTAGTATTTACAGAATGAATATCACTTATTTTCGCAAAACTACTTTTATTTTTGTGTACGTACATTACATTTTCATAAATGTATTGAGAGGCCAGAGTTAATATATTAATTTCCTTAAATTTTTGTCTCAGTGACTCTTTTGGTTTTAAATTATATATTGCTCTAATGGCCCTCTTCTGTAAAATAAATATAATTTCAGTGTCAGTCGCGTGTCCCCATTGCAAAATACCATACGACATAATGCTATGGAAATAACTAAAGTAAACTATTCTAGCTGTTTCAACACTGGTAAGAGTTCTAATCTTTTTCACAGCATATGCTGCAGAACTAAGTCTGCTAGCTAGTTTTAATATATGGGGGAGCCATTGAAGCTTTGCGTCCAGTGTGATTCCAAGAAAATTGTTGGTATCAACAAGACTCAGTTGCCCCCCCATTTAAAATTACATTAGTATTGACATGTTTAACATTGGGAGTTACGAATTTCATACATCATCATCATCATCATTACAGCCCTTCACAAGTCCACTGCTGAACATAGGCCTCCCCCAAGTAATGCCACAAAGCACGGTCCTGAGCCACCTGCATCCATCGACTTCCTGCATATCTTACCAGGTCGTCACTCCATCTAGTGGGGGGTCGCCCTACACTACGCCTACCGGTACGAGGCTGCCACTCGAGAACCTTTCTTCCCCATCGGTTATCGGTTCTTCGAGCTATATGGCCGGCCCATTGCCACTTCAGCTTACTAATCCGTTGGGCTATGTCGGTCACTCTGGTTTTACTGCGGATATCCTCATTTCTGAGTCTATCACGCAGAGAAACTCCGAGCATAGCCCTCTCCGTAGCTCGCTGAGCGACTTTGAGCGTCCTCATACGGCCAGCAGTGAAGGACCACGTCTCTGATCCGTAAGTCATCACTGGCAACACGCACTGGTTGTACACTTTAGTTTTCAGAGATTGAGGTATACCTGACGAGAAGATGTGTCGTAATTTCCCGAACGCTGCCCAGCCGAGTTGAATCCGTCGATTGACCTCTCGGTCGAAGTTGGACTTACCTAGTCGGACTATTTGTCCCAGGTAAACGTATACTCGTCAACAACTTCGAGCATAGTGCTCCCAACAACTACCGGCATAGGTGTGACATGGACATTAAACATGATCTTTGTTTTGTCCATGTTCATCTTAAGACCTATCCGTTGGGAGGCACTATTGAGGTCATTGAGCATAGTGCTTAAGTCCTCCAGCGATTCTGCCATAAGGACTATATCGTCGGCAAATCGAAGGTGAGTGATGTACTCGCCATTGATGTTAGTACCGTATCCTTTCCAGCCCAGTAGCTTGAAAACGTCTTCCAAAGCAGCGGTGAAGAGTTTCGGGGATATAACGTCACCCTGTCTTACACCTCTCTGCAGTTGGATAGGTTTCAAGCTCTGGTTCTGTACTCGGATAGCCATCGTAGCCCTACTGTACAAACACTTCAGCACTTCGATATACCGACAGTCAACTTGGCACCGCTGAAGGGACTGCAGCACCGCCCAAATTTCAATGGAATCAAAGGCTTTCTCATAGTCCACATACGCCAGGCAAAGTGGCAAATTGTACTCTTCAGTCTTCTGTACAATCTGCCGCAGGGTATGTATGTGGTCTATGGTACTAAAGCCTTTTCGGAAACCGGCTTGTTCGGGAGGCTGGAAGTCGTCGAGTCTGCTTGCGAGACGATTCGTAATGACTCTCGAAAACAGCACGTAGACGCGGCTCAGAAGGGAAATCGGTCTGTAGTTCTTCAAGAGAGCGTTGTCGCCTTTCTTAAAGAACAAGACCACCGCACTTCGCCGCTGCTCCACGCCTCTGGAGTATTGCCACCATGGAGGACGGAATTGAAGAGCTTCTGAAGGACTTCAAGTTGTGTTCTTGTGTAATGCTTTGATAAGAAGCCATTTCGACTATGCTTCCTTATTGTGGGAACCATGTAACAAGAGTGCGTTTAAAAAGCTCTGGATCAAATTCAAGTAAAATGCCTTCGCATTATAATAGGAGGAATGAAATCTACCCGAACTAGTGCTTTCCAGGTTGAGTGTGGTAAGGGTCCTCTCTTTCTTCGCAGGCAGTACCTATCAGACAAATTCTGGTTCAAAAAGTGTTTTCTTTAGCCGCTGTTCCATGTACAACACTCACTTCATCAGCAAATTTCAATTTCCCCATACTGACGACATAAAGATATACCATGCCTTTTAAAAAGCTATATAAAGTGTGTAAATATTCAATCTCCAATCTTCCAAAATAGCATCAACTTACTCTTCCTCACTTCCTACGAAGCGCTACTTTTTAATCCAAATGTTGTCCTTGACCTTAGACTTGAGAAGAAAACTATTGATCCTAACAGTCAATTAAAAAAAATCATCTCAGAAAATTGCCAAGACCGGATCATTATCTACACAGACGCTTCAAAGACTTCTAGCATAGATCGTGTAGATTCTGCAGTTTGGATCCGTAAATACAGAATAATTTTAAATTTAAGTGCCCACCTGAATCATCAGTTTTCACAGGAGAATCTATTGCCATTTTAGAGGCAATCCTATATGCCCAATCTCAAAACCTGGAAAATACCTGAATTCTCTCTTAAAAAATTAAAGTTTGCTGCTGAACATTTTTGCACACCGACTCATCAAAAGCAAAACAAGTTGTAACAAAAGTTGTCTGAGCATTTCGTGAATTCATAAGACACCATTCTTGCGTTTTATTATTTAAGTAAATGCAAATTAGTCAGTTTTTTGAGTAAACAACCAATAAATTTACATTTTTAACATTCTATTTTTTTATATATTTTTAACAAGTTAAAAGTATCCGAGTTTAGGATTTTTCAAACTTTTAACTTTTACTTAATTTTATCATAAAAAGTCATGGGATTTTTTATTCATATTTTATCAAAAAATATAAAAACTGGTCCCGCTGGAAAATAACAATTCCTTGCAATTGATAAAAAATCGGTTTAAACAATATGGCACCGAGTTGGCCCATGGCAACATGCATTTATATAATTAGTAGGACAACTTGAAGAGAATCGCATAAAAAAATTGAGGTGGGATAGTTTTCGGTACTCATGCGCCGATTCCTCCTGGACTTTATGTATAGTTTTTGAGTTATCTATGTTTAACCACAGAGTACATTATATATACCTCAAATACTCATATACTGAATGAAAAACAATTAAAAATCAAAGAATAGAATTAGAACTACATCAAAGTTTTGAAATTTAGGATGTTATAGTTTTTTCTAAAAAAAAGTTTAATCACGAAGACCATACAGATTTCATGTTAATTTAAAGCGGCAACTTCATACTTTGAGCCCTATTATTACTATGAAACTTAAAAATTATTTCACAAGTCGATATTTTAGTAACAAAATTAGTTCGCATACTTATTCAATAGTACAATCGAGAAACGTCAAAATAGCTCGAGGTTAAAGAATCGCATTGGTATTGGCTGAGCGTTACAGAAATAGCGAAGCTATGTTGTATGAATAATGCTTTCCACGTAAACTTATCTCTGATAGCTACAACAGCAGTTGATTAGTCAAAGTAAAAATAAATTGATTTGATAGCAAATATTCATTTTTGTGCTTTTTGCTAGTTTTCTTAAACAACAATTAAAAAATTGGTAAAAATGTTCTTCAGTGAATTGAAAGAGTTAATGTAAGGTCATAATCTTGACCAACTAATGTAAATCATCATCATCGTCATCATCATCATTTCAAGGAATGCCACAAAGCATTGTCCTGAGCTACCTGTATCCGTCAACTTGCAGTCGTCACTTCAAGCAATAATAACAATTATAAACCATCTAATAATCATTAGAAATCATTTTCAACTCGCAAGGAACTGTTATGCGGCAGATTTAGGTGATGTTCGAGCATAGTCTGGCGGTTTTCAGTGTCACGGGATTCAGCGCTCGTGGCCGCAGGCTATTTATTATAATCGTGTACAATACCGGCAAAGAACAAGCTTGTATTTCTTTATCTATATATTTATTTTCACTTTATTGTTTTAAACACCTTAATAAAAAGTATTACAAAGTTTTAAAACTAGCTGGGAGCGTAGTCAGCCGTAGTGGTTCATTACTAGTGAACCCGGTAAAAAAAATTGTTGGCTTGCATTGCATACGTATAGGTTTCCAATAACCTAAATGAACCCAATTAGTGCACACTTTAATGCACGTACACTATTGATATTGTAAGCTCACTGGTTGTGGTGCGGTTTGAATTTCTTTTTCATTGCGAATTAAAAATTCTGAATTTTAAGACACATCGACAGTTATGTAGAAACGTTACAAAAAGAACTTAAAATAATTTCTTGGCAAATTTTTTAAGTAAGTATAATATACAAGTTTGAAGCCAAATTTTTTTGTTTAAGAAAATCCATAAATTAAGATTATTACAATCTCAAGTTAACTAAAGAATTTATAGTAATATTTTATTTTGCTAATTTGTTCGATGCGATGAAAAATGTTATTTGTGGCTATTAAATGGTTAGCGTTCGCTATAAATTTCATAGTAAGCGAGCAACCCGGGATCGATCTCCGCTAACACCATGAACTTGTTAATTGCAATTAAAAGTGCTGATTTACCTCGTGCTCGGCGGTGAAGGAAAAATTCGTGAGGAAAACTAAATGTCTTAGAAATAAAAAAAAATAATTCGAAGACATGTGAAATTCGCCGACAAGTATTGGGGGCTGCGCGGCGGACATTTCTTTGCACTAAAACCCTTTCAGAAATTAGAGGAGGTCTGTGCCCAGCAATAGGAAGTATATAGGTTGTATAACCAAACAATAAAGAAGTATAAATACTGGCTGCAAATATATTCAATATGTCGGTACACAGGTTATGCAACTAAAACGTAATGATTATATACTCCTAGTACATAGTCAGTAATCTATGATATACTCTTTGTATGCAACTGCATAAAATACTTTTATATAAATTTTGTTTCTTAATCCACAACAGTATGACAAATAAAGGTAAAAGCGTATTTTTAAATATAGGTATTTGTTAAAATATACTTGTAGAAAGTAGTATTTTAGTACGTTTTGTTGAGCGATAATCAAATGATGCACATTTCATTTATTACTCTTCGTAAACGAAGTTTTCTATGCAGTAAAATAGTAGTGATACGAATATATTGTAGACATGATATTATAAATACCACATTAGAAAGTATTTGTTCGAAAAGTATTAAAATTACAAGCAAAACCTACTCAACTTCTGTTATTCTTCGTTACTATATTTGTACCACGTAATAATTAAATCTAATAATATGTGAGTCTTATTTGTTACAAATGTCATTACATTTAGCCTTATGATTTTTTAAACAGAAAATGCTGAGATTGCTGATCGGGGGCCGCAAAAGGCCGCTACTTTAGCAGTACATCTAGTGAGCCAAGTCTTAGATGATGCTTGTATAATTTTAAATGAAGCCACAGAATTAGGTAAGATTTATCTTTATTCTTATTAAATTGAAGTGACACACGAACTGACAGTACATCGGATGGTAAGTGGCTGCTGCAGCCAGTGAGCGCAAATATTTTTTGCGGCCACTGACTGCATCCAACGGACCTCCAACCTGCAACCGATTTCAAAGAAAGAATGCTAAGTTAAGTTATTAATATACGTGGTAGAGGCATATTGAGAGTTACAGCCTATTTACGTCCCACTGCTGGGCACAGGCCTCACCTCATTTCTGAGAGGGTTTTAGGGCAAGGAAGTGTCCGCCACGCAGCCAGTGTTGGCGAACTTCACATGTCTTCGAAATATTTTTTTCTTATTCCTCACACATGCAGGTTTCCTCACGATGTTTTCCTTCACCGCCGAGTACGTAGTAAATGAGCACTTAAAATTGCAATTAATAATTTCATTGGTGCCGGCGGGGATCGAACCCGTGTTACTCGTGTTTTGTTATATTTACAGCGAGCGTTAACCATCTGAGCTACCACGGCACGGCTGGTAGAGCCATGCTACAGTTATATTAGTAATATAGTTGTAGCACGAATGGGTCGACTAGACCGGGAAAGGATCACGCTCTCACAGAATTACAGCGTAAAATTGTAGCTTAATGCTTCTGTGTTTCGTATGATGAGTGTAGAGAACCGGAGACCCTTTTTACTGGAATTGAGGCATTCTATCTTAGTCCTCACGGGTAACAACGCATCTGCATTTTGATTCGTTATCGAGGATAGATGTAGATGTCTATGGGCCACAGCAATCACTTACCATCAGGTGAACTGTGTGCTCGTTTGTCACCCTTTGCTATAAAAAAAGTTACGTTGTCACAGCTGAAATGTCTCACAGACTCGCTTTATGGTTCCAACCCAGATACAACAGTGTGTGTTCTGTTCTGCTCTTTGGTGATAGAAACAGGTGAGAGGGTGGTCACCAGAACCAGAGCCACCCAGACGGACTCCTGAGCAAAAAGTCCTACCACCTAGTAAACTTTATATATTTTACTAAATATTTATTCCATTATTTTATGTTATAAAAATTTTCAATAATGATGTTCTCTTGGTGAGTTATCACTTATCAGTTGCGATGAAACACGAAAACGAAAAGGTATATTTTCTTGCATTTGTTTATATACTGATGTGGCCTATCCTTAGGCCTGTTAATCTAAAGTCAGACTGCCTTATCAGCTTTGCGGCTGTTCAACTTTTATATGACATACAGCGGCGTAGCTATGCAACCAAGGGCTCCGGGGCAAAAATAAAATTGGGGCCCTATTCAAACTAAACTCAAAACCTACTTTAAAGTTGCAAAACTAATTATTCAACAGCTCCTTACAGGCACACCACAACACACATAACACTGCAGGGCATAATAAAAGCAAAGTTGTTATGTAGTATGTGTAAGGCGGCAGATAATATTTAACCGTACTTGCTTATTTATATATATACAGCAAACCGCATTACGTAATAATCTGAAAATTTGGCAGTATCTGCCTTTATATCGTAGGCATCCACTAAGAAATGGTATAGGAAAATTTTACCTCTATGGGGATGAAATAGAATTTTATAGTTTGTATGAAACTTTTAATTTTACGGGGCGATTAACTTGAAACTTATAAAGGTACTCTGTATATTACATGGTAGAGCCACGCTGAAACTGTATTATGGTTATAGCACGAATGGGTCGGCTCGACCGGGGTAAGACCACCCTTTCACATAATACCAGCGTAAATCTCAAACCGCAGAACGTAGAAGCATGAAAATATTATAACATAGTTTCATTTTATTACGTAGGTAATTAACTAAGATAAAATTTTGAAAAATTTAAACCCTCAGAGGAATAATAGTGTGTTAAAGTTTGTATGACACTTTATTTTACGGGTCGATTGACTGTTGAGTACCTTTTATTTTTATTATTATGCTTTAACTTTAATATTTTTCAAAATAAAGCCTTACCTACTTACTTCTTCTAAACTACACTACCAACAACGGATTTTAATACGTTTTTCACTATCATTTAGAGATGTGTTATGGAAGGTAAGTATGTACATTACATTCTAATTAAGTCTGAATAATAGAAAAAGTTCAATATTTTGTAATTAAGTCGTCAAAAATCGATATTAGGGCACTTACTTTGCTGGCTAAACTTTAATAGATACCTCGAAACTATGTACTAAAGAATCGTAGTTCTTCAAAAAGTCTAGACTAAAAGTCCGCGCTAGCCTAAATAATATGTCTATCTCCTAAGATTGACTCACAGTAACCATTTTTATCTTTGAAATATTAATTAAAAGTATTTGTTTATTTGCGAAGATGTTTTCTCTAATTCAGTATTAATATTCATCTTAATAAATATGTGTGTTAACTTGGGCATTTCATCTTAATTAAAATTATTCCTTGAATTATATCATTTAAATGAATACTTTAGAAGATATTACAGTTTCAAAATTACGTGCAACCAAAAAAATATCACGGCCGGCACGTCTCCGCCGCTACCTTCTTTGTTTCACCACATGGAATATTTCATGATCAGCTGTGTGTAGCCCTTTCGGGTGTCACCACAGAAATATTATTTAGATTTCTGTGGGTGTCACTTTCGGACAAAATCAGTTCGTATTGTGTAATAAAAAGTCGGCTGTAAAAATGTATATGGTGTATGCTGGCAGTAATGTTAAAACTTTGACATTAACAGCTACATTATCCAAAGTTTTTAAATCTGTAGGCCTTGGACAAGTTTGAGTCTATGTTTCACTATAATACACGATAAGATATTTTATTACTTAACGAATTTTCGTAATAATAATCAAGCGACAAAACATAAATGACACCACATGTAAATTAAACTAGTAATATTGTAAATAAGAAAGTTTATTTATTTGTTACACTTTCACGTAAAAGCTACTTTATGGATTTGGATGAAATTATGTGCTTCCGTTTTATCCCGATAAAAGGATCCCGTGGGATAGTTTTCAACGTTGGTCTATACCAGGCGAATGAAGTCGCGGGCGAAAGCTGGTAAAAATAAACAATAACAAATTAGATTACAGTTAATATCTAATATTGGTACTTAGACAGTAAAACGAAGTAGGTGATTTTATTTTAATCATGTTTATGTTCTGGAGGAGCAAGAAATTCTCGTGACTTCAGTTCGGGTCATTCGAGGTTTGTTGGTCAAGGGCCAAAAAGTTAAAAGTCGAATTCTTTTTATTCAATTAAGATAATATATGTATAATTTTTCGAACGTCGTCGTCATGGAGGCTGAGGGGCCCCTTGAGCTCGAGGCCTAGCCCCAAAAGGTTGCTACGCCACTGATGACATACTCAGATTTTATAATCTATAACCTGAGATGACGCTAATGTCAAATAGCCTCTTTACATTTCATTTTTACTTTTAAATTACTTATTTTGTACAGGAAAATCATGGCGATGTATGTCAAAATTAAAAATAGATAATAATAGTAGATGTGTGATTGATAATGAACACTCAACTTTTATTGTTGAGATGGGCGACAGCGATGACGTTGACAAAAGACATGAACTGAATACAATGACTACGTCCACGCCGGAAAAGGTTACTGGTCAGGTATACGAAATCAAAGGTAAAAAATAACAGAGACATATCTTGATAAATTTATTTACTTACTTAATTCACCAGCAAATCATACATAAATGTATAATTTATAAAAATTAAATTATTAGTGTCGTATAAAATCTTTGTCTTTCTTTTTTTCAGAGAAAAATCTAACCATAACTAGGCTCGCCCTCTGTTTCAGTTCTTGTAAAAGTAAAAAATAAAGTTACAGCCTATATACGTCCCACTGCTGAGCATAGTCCTCCCCCTCATTTCTGAGAGGGTTTTAGGGCAAGGAAGGGTCCGCCGCGCTGCCCCAATGCGTGTTGGCAAACTTCACATGTCTTCGAAATATCTTTTTTTATATTCCTCAAACATGCAGGTTTCGTCACAATATTTTCCTTCACCGCCGAGCACTTGGTAAATCAGCACTTAAAATTGCAATTAACAATTTCATTGGTGCCAGCGGGAATCGAATCCGGGTTACTTGCGTTCTGTTATGTTTACAGCGGGCGTTAACCATCTGAGCTACCACGGCTCACTCAGATCTTGTACTATTATTTTTATTCTGTGGTTTCAGTTTTTTCGTTATTACCATTTTGCAAATATATATACATTGGGTGGTAGAGCCTTGCGGCAGTTATATTAGTATATTATCACGGTATAGTTGTAGCACGAATGGGTTGGCTCGACCGGGGATGGACCACGCTCTCACAGAATACTAGCGTAAAGTAGTAGCTTAATGCTGGTGTGCATCCAATGGTGAGTGTAGAGAACTGAAGACCTTTTTTACTGGAAACGAGGCATTCCATCTTAGTCCTCACAGGTGACTACACATCTGCATTTTGATTCGTTAATTCATGGATAGTTGTAGATGTCTATGAGCTGCAGCAACCACTACCCATCAGGTGGACTGTGTGCGCGTTTGTCACCCTATCCTATAAAAAATACACATTCAGGGTTATTTTCCAATAACCGGCCAGATTTGCAGAGAAGGTTCAGAATAAGTAATAATATAGGCAGATGGTGAAGAAAATTTTATCAAAAAAAGTCTCAAACATCTTAAATTCAAAATGCATGGTAATGCATTACTTTAACTTAACACATTCGAAAAGTTCGATTAGTATTCAGTAGGCAAAAACGTTGTTGCCCATAAATCATAATCAATTTGGGATTATTTCAAATAAAAGTAGAAGTCTTATTTTTTTTTATAGAAGAGGGGGCAAACGAGCATGCGGCTCACCTGATGTTAAGTGACTACCGCCGCGCACGATAAACCGCAACACCAGAGGAATTGCAGGTGCGTTGTCGGCCCTTTAGAAAGGAGTTAGCTCCTTTCTTGAAGGTCCGCAGGTCGTATCGGTCCGGAAAAATCGCCGGTGGTAAACTATTCCACAGAGAGGTCGTACGCGGAAGAAAACTCCTTTTGAAACGTACAGTGGTGGACCGCCAAGCATCCAGATGGTGTGGAGAGAATTTGGCGGCTGGGATTAATCCGAACATTTCCTCAGAGCACTCCCCGTGGTAGATGCGATAGAAAATTCGAAAAGAGATGCAACATCTCTTCGCAGCGCCAGTTAATCGAGCCGATCGGAAAGCACTCGGTCGTCGACGATTCGAGCCGCTCTGCGCTGGATGCGGTCAAGTGGAAGGAGCTAGTACTGCGGAGCCCCGGCCCAGAGATGGGAACAGTATTCTATATGCGGCCGAACCTGTGCCTTGTAAAGTTGCAGGCGGTGTGCCGGCATGAAATACTGTCGCGCTCTGCTGAGCACGCCAAGCTTTTTAGAGATCCAATTTGGCCTGCTCTTCCAAGTGACCACGAAACTGCACGTCACTCGATATGTCGACGCCGAGGATACCGATACTGGCTGAGGCAACGAGGGCAGTGCCTTGAAACTGAGGAGATACGACAAATGGGTATTTTTTAGCGGTTAACGCGCAAACTTGTGTCTTCTGGGGGTTAAACTGGACTAGATTTAGTGGCCCCCAATCCGAGACTCCTTTCAGCAAAGACACAACTTCAGACACAAGTTTGTCCCGGTACTCAGAGACGTTTTCCCGAGAAATATTGGCACGGCCGGTGTACAGAGCATCACCAGTGCTGTCATCTGCATAGCAATGAATGTTACGGGATTGCAACATATAATTGATATGCAGAAGAAACAGCGTTGGCGATAGCACGCAGCCTTGTGGAATACCAGCATTAATAGGCTTGTAATCGGTGCTTGCACCGTCTACAACGACCTTGATGCTCCGATCTGCAAGAAAGCTGGTGATCCAATCGCACAATTTCTCGGGAAGCCCATAGAAAGGGAGCTTCGAAAGAAGCGCTTTGTACCAAACCCGGTCAAAGGCCTTCGCAATGTTCAAAAATTGCAATAACGGTATGTAATTTTTTATATATTTGAACTTAAGTTTAAAATTTGGCTACTCTTTGGAAAATAACCCTGTATATACATACATAAATACATAAACACTCACGCCTGTCACCCAGAGGGGTAGGCAGAGACTACAGACTTCCATTTAGCATGATCCTGACATACCTTTCTCGCCTCTTCCACATCCATATACCTACGCATACATGCTCATCGGTTAAGGGTACTTCTAATTTGGCCCGTTTTCAATAAATCGCCAATTTAGTCGATAAACTTCCGCCTAGGACGTCCCTTTCCGACTCTTCCATTCACTTCTGCAACATATATTTGCTGTGTCAGTCTTTCCGCATTCATTCTTTCTACATGACCAAACCACCGAAGCATTCCTTTCTTAATCCTGGTCACCGCATCATCTTACAAACCACACTCTTCTTTTATCACACAGTTTCTCACCCTGTCACTCAGATTCAGCCCTAACATACTCCTTAGCGACCGCATTTCTACTGCATTTATTCTACTCTCGTGCTTCTTCTGCCACACCCAACTTTCACTACCATACGTTAAAGTAGGGACTAATACAGCACTGTGAATTGCCATACGTGCCTTTTTTGACACATTCTGACTTTTCACAATAGAGTGTAGAGCCCCATTTACTTTATTTCCTGCATTCACTCGTCGTTCAATGTCCTTATCATATCTCCCATCCCTGCTGAATACACATCCCAAATATACGAACTCATCCACTTGCTCAATTAACTCTCCTTCTATTCTTATTTCACATACCGTTTTGCTTTCATCTCTTTCAAAAACCATCACTTTCGTCTTACTTGCGTTCACTTTCATTCCCCTTTCTTTTAATGACCTGTTCATTAATGTAACCATCATTTGCAACTCGGCCGCCGACGACGCAAGTATGGCTTGATCATCGGCGTACAAAAGGCATTTGATGGTTAACTCACCCATTTTTAACCCGCATTCTTCAACTTTCAAATTTTCTAAACAGCTGTCCATAAATAGGTTGAACAGCCACGGGGAAGCTACACAGCCCTGTCTGACACCCTTATGGATGCCAAACCAGTCCGAGTAGACCCCGTTGATTCTAACACAAGCACTCGAGTCCCTATACAGAGACTTTAATGCCTGTATCAAACCAGCGCTCAACCTAAATGCGTTCAGCGTTTGCCATAACACATCCCTGTCCTCTCTGTCATAAGCCTTTTCCAAGTCCATGAACGCACAAAATACTTTTTGGTTTTTCGCCAAAAACTTCTCCACGATCAAGCGCATGGAAAAGACTTGATCTGTACACGCCATTCCCTTTCTAAATCCCGCTTGCACATCCCAAATTTTTCCATCAGTTTCTTTCATGACCCTTTCAATCAGTACCTTAGCATACAGTTTTCCCACAATGCTAAGAAGGCTGATGCCACGGTAGTTTTTACCGTGACCGCTGTGACCCTTTTCCCTTGTATACTGGGAATATCATGGCTTTGCACCAGTCTCCCGGTACCCGCTTCAGTTCCCAGCATAAATTAAACAAGGTGTGCAGCAGGCCTGCCACCACTTCCTCTCCAGCCCTTAGCATTTCGAGTGAAACTCTATCATATCCGGCAGCCTTACCTGCTTTCATGCTTTTCATTGCTTTCATTATTTCATCTATACTTATCTCGCTATCTCTTTCATCTTCTTTCGGAATTTCTACTTCACTTAGTACACACGTTGTCTCCTCACTCATAAACACGCTTTCAAAATATTCTTTCTTCCATCTCTTTAAACTCAACACTTCATCATTCAGGATACAGCCATTCTCGTCTCGTATCGCATTCAATCTAGGCTGTTTTGAAAGTGTATATACATATATAATATTACGCTATTTGGATCTTGATACTGTACTGTATTGAAAAAAATGGTTCACTGTCGCAATCGTTTGACGACTTTAATATAAACTTACTTAAGGTGGTAACTTAGATTTACCTCGTCACTTCGCACATCTTTTCTCCGCTTACTTTCCATACTGATTAACTTGACTTTTGACTCTGTCACAAGTCTCGACTCTTACTTATAAGACCTATTTTTGCAGAAGTTATTAAAAGAACTGCAAAAGCTGACGCATGTTTAATAGGGCAAGGAGACGAAGATATTCATTCCGTAAGTTTTTATATATTGATGCCGTTAAATTAAAACTAAAAACTAAGTTTAAATAAAACTAGCCTTTATGGATTGCATCGCGTATATTAACTTATGTTATTTAACCTATGTTCGAACATCATCAGTAAAGTGTTCGAGACGTCGGGAATATAAAATAAGTTAATATACGCGATACGATCTGTAAAGGCTAGTTTTATTTAAATGTGTAGAGTTCGCGTTAATATAAGAAATCATTATAAAAACTAAGTTATAATATTCTGTTTCCTTTAGGAGGGAGATATATTTCAAGACCTAAGTGGTTTAAGAAAATCTACATCTACATTTATAAATCGCTTATTCGACATGAGTGACGTCGAATATATCCATGATGATTCGGATTTAGCTCAGAAAGCATTAAGTACTAATGACTCACTAACAGAAGATATTTTTAAAATTGTGGAGTTATGTGTAGAATCTGCTCTCGTTTCTGACATTTATGTCCAGAATACTATACTTGATGACGGCGTCGAGAAGTCGCCGAGTAGTAACCAATCCAGCTATTCCTTTCTTGACGATGCTTTCTCAAGTAATATTGATAAAAATATAGCATTTTATATCGATGATGACGTCACTACTAATAGCAAGGTTGATATTAATGATTATAAATATAATACCTACGAAAATACTGAGGTAAAGTTATAGATATATTTATTAAAAGCTAATAATAATGTTTACCTTCATAAAATATTAATATTTTTAAACCTACCTGCGCATTATATATTTTCGGTGCTTTTGCAGGCTAGTGTGAACGTAAACGAAACTATACAAAGAAATGTCGCATTATATGAAAATGCCTATGCCACATTAAACAGTAAGCGTTGTGTTAAATAATTACGTGCACATGTACACATTTATTAAGCGCTTTAATATGCTTTTCTTTAATATTGGATCTTTTAAAGGAGACGACGAGCAATATTCCGATGAAGAAGACTTTGTACACCAAGATTCAAAATCTTTAGCATTACAAGAAGTGGAATTGTCTGTTAAGAATACATCGCCAGTAAAGTTGCCGACGTGTGACAATGTATGTAGTACTTTTTTTAATAGGATATGGGTGACAAACGAGCACTCAGTCCACCTGATGGTAACTGGTTGCTGCAGTCCGTAGACATCTACATGAATCCTCGATCACGAATCAAAATTCAGATGCGTTGTCACCCGTGAGGACTAAGATGAAATGCCTCTTTTCCAGTAAATAGGGTCTCCGGTTCTCTCACTCACCATACGAAACATAACATCATTAAGCTGTTATTTTACGCTAGTATTCTGTGAGAGCGTGGTACTTCCCCCGTCGAGCCGACCCATTCGTGCTACAACTATACTTTATAATATAGCTGCAGCGTGGCTCTACCACGTAAACTAGTTAAACGTACTTATTACGTATTTTGTGGCATGATAGTTTTATTCTCCCGTATACGACTATATGCTTCAGCTATGAGATCTAAAAACTTTTGATCACTTTTACATACTTCTTCTTTATTAGGCTGTATAAGTCTACTACTGGATTTGAGTTCCACCCAGCGTAAATTACTTTTGATATACTCACCACGCTTGGCACGCGAATTGGCGAGAGCAGTGATTGATATATCGCATCTTCGATGCTGCTCTCTATCGCAAGTATAAAAACCTGTTTATATCTTTTAAATGTCATAAATTTCATATAATGACCTTTTAAGACACCCGCGCGACGAAAAGGGGTGCTGGATTCACTTACGTCATCACCACACTACAGTTTTACGTCAGTTTATGTTAACTAATTAACATTATGTTATGTACTTGACATTCTAGGTTTTTAAACTAAAGTATTGTTTTTTACTAGGAATGCAAAGATGTTGCTACTACTTCAGCGGTGTCAGCTTCATTAGTTTCTCGTAAGAGTGGTCTGGTTAAACGATGCCGTCTGCAGGGCGCGAGACTTTTATCCTGTTTACGAGGTTGGTGGTGGCGTCGCAAACTGCCTGGAGGACGGAAAGTGAGGCTCACAATTCTATATTTAACTAGAAAAACATACTTTTAAGGGCCGATTTTTCAATCCTCAAAATAAATTAATTCATATGATAAAATATAACATGAACAAATTAAAAATTACTGCTGTATAAATAAAATAGATCAGTTGTTGTACTTTTATATTCAGTCAAGCTACAATATTACATATATACTGTATAATTTATTTGATGTATAACTTTTAACTGACGATTGAAAAAGCCAAGCCGCAAATTCCTTAACAATATTAATTTTATGACTATGTGCGTTATTGTGAGATGACAAACTTTAGTGTGTTTTTTATTTATATACTAGTGTATAAATTTTTTCTCAGACATGCAGGTTTCTTTACGACGTTTTCCTTCGGTTGCTAACACCAAGAAAAATATAAAATTTATAACCAATATTTATAATAACACTAGCGCATCTAACAAGGGTGAAATTCGCGTAGTTCACATAACATAAAAACTCACGCCTGTCACCCAGAGGGGTAGGCAGAAACTACGGACTTCCATTTGGCACGAGCCTGACATAGCTCTCTCGCCTCCTTTACATCCATATATTTACTCATACACGCTCGTCAGTTAAGGGTACTTCTAATGTGGCCCATTTTTAAAATATCGCCAATTTGGTGGATAAACTTTCGTCTAGGGCGTTCCTTCCCGACTCACGACGACACATCTGCCTTATAAATTTGCCTTGTCACTCTTTCCTCATTCATTCTTTCTACATGACCAAACCACCGAAGAATTCCTTTCTTAATCCTAGTACAACATCATCTTGCATACCACATTTTTCTCTTATCACTCAAATTCTCACGCTGTCATTCAGATTCAACCCTAGCATACTCCTTAAAGACCGCATTTTTACAGCATTTATTCTACTTTCGTGCTTCTTTTGCCACACCCAACTTTCACTAGCATACATTATAGTAGTTTCTATAGTTCCTAGTTCACGTATTATGAAATTCAAGAAAGCGTTCGGCCTACGTTCATGTAAATAGTATGCAAGGAAACTTAATAAGAAAAAGATCTATATGAGCGTTTTTTATATTTTACTTGTTGTATGTTTTATATGTACTTGTATTTAGTCGGTTGCCTCGTTTTCAGTAAAAAAGTGTCTAGGGATCTCTACACTCAGCGTAAGAAACACAGCAGTATTAAGCTGCTATTTTACGCTGGTATCCTGTCAGAGCATGGTCCTTTTCCGGTTTGTCGACCTATTCGTGTTACACACATAATATAACTGCAGCGTGGCTCTACGATGTATAAAGTATTTATATACTACGAGAACTAATGTATCATATAAAAGTTACAGCCTATATACGTCCCACTACTGGGCACAGGCCTCCTCTCATTTCTGAGAGGGTTTTTGGGCAAGGAATAGTCCGCACGATGCCCCAATGCGTGTTGGCAAACTTCACATGTCTTCGAAATATTTTTTTTCTTATTTCTCAGACATGCAGGTTTCCTCACGATGTTTTCCTTCACCGCCGAGCACGTATATAATAATAACTAACTATATTTAAACCAAATTAATTTCTCATGTTTGTATATTGTTTCACTACTCGTTTGCAGAGATTAGCCAAAAACATAAAAAGTTTTAGTACAAATGAATGCAATGGAGAGTGTAGCATTTTTGTAACGTGTTTTTGTAACAAAATAAATCTAAAAACCCTTAAACAATCAAAATCTAAATCTATTGAACTTACTTAATTGCTAAATGCTTGAGTATGTAGTTCTTTTCTGAATTCGCTAGTTATAAGCATTGAAAATTCATTGACCATTTTACAACATCTACGGATCGGGGAAGCCAGACAGAAACGATTCTTTCAACAAGGTCGTTTAAGAGATTTAAAAAAATTGAGTTTGTAACATGTTGGTAATAAGAAGTCTATTTCAATTGCTATACACGAATAAAATTATTCGACAGGAACCCCGTGTACCTGGTGCTTTACGGGGTCAATATACCCTCTCACCTTCCGCGAGGATTCGTGCAGCCAGTTTGCTGGATCACCGTCGCATTCTCTCTCCATCACTCTCCCGCTCTAACGTCTGGAAGTTCAACACTATCAACGAGTCTGTGGTCAGTTCAGCACACTTGAAGGAATATGCTTTTCAGAAGCCTGAATGCAATGAATATTAACGTTTTAACATTATTGTAAAACAAATTGTTTTGTTAGAATTAATAAATGTGTGTTTATGGAAAATACACCGGCGATTTCATTTTGTAGCTTTCTAATGCTTAATATATATATATATATATATATATATATATATATATATATATATATTTTTTTTTTTTTTTTTTTTTTTTATTGAGATGTCTGTCTGTAACATTAAGAAACTTGAATCTATTAAGCTCGGCGGTTTTTGCATGATATTAGGACGTAAACAATCATTTTTTATTATATAAATGTGGAGTGATCTTAGCTTCGTATAACTTAGAATAACTTAAGAAATAAAATAAATGGTGTTTGATTATCGTACATCTAAGTAACGCCACATTAATATGGACAGGACAATGATGATTACGTATAGGTGCGCTTACACGAGGACAATAATTGCTCGGCGACACGAATGGACCGACCTGGAGCAATTGGCATTCAAAGCAATGGAGCAAATTGCGGCAATTATTTCGGCGATATTGCTTCTAATTGCTCCAGATATTTCATATCGCTCAGTGTCGCAGATACGAATTGACGAATATCCAATGGGCTTGGAAATTCCTAGCAATTTTTGTATATATCTCATTCGCACTTGTTTGTTTTGCGGCTTGCCGTCTTGCTTCCGCGGGGAGAGCGAGAGGTCGGGTCTGTTCGTGACATTCTAGTAAAGTTTTTGAATAATATATCATCTAATTCTTTACACAATGAAAATTGCGGCCTCTTTGCCAAAAACGATCGCACCCCTGGGTACGCCCATTCCTTTTCTTTCTTTTTTGTTTTTGATTAATAATAAAAAAGGCGCTGCAAGCCCTGCGCAGCAAGAACAATGTCGTCCATAGCGAGCGAATACTGAAATGCTCGTGTAGGACAGTATTGCCTAGTTGATGAAGTTGCGCCATATCGCTCAATATTGTATTGCGCAGTATTGATGCTTGTTGCCGTTGCCGTAAATTGCTTGAAGTAGTCGTGACGTCATAGTTGACGAGTATTGACTGGAATTGAGCAATTTTAGTTGCCCGTGTAAGCGCACCTTATGAGTTACCTGACAATATTTACCAATCTCTGCTGTCCAAAGAGTGTAATAATTTGTGACTCATTTGGTTTTTTACACTCGTCTATCAGAATAACAGCTTGATTAAGACAAAGACAAGCAAAGATTTTTCTTCAGATTTTAAATAAGTGAAGTTAAGAAAATATTTTGTAATTTTAAATGGGAGGGTAATTTTTTATAGATGTTTTTTATTTTGTTTATATTGCAGAGAAACTCTTTTCTCGAAAATATATCGGTAGGTATCAAGTTAACAATATAAGACATACAGTTCCGTTGTTGTATATATAGAGGTCAGTGAGTTTCATTAGATAATAAAAGAAAACCTAAATATAAATTGGCAAAGGAGAGAGCATACTGCTAAAATAACATTACGTACTTAATGGTCCATATATATATTGAAATTAACAACTGATTTAAAAACAAAAATATTCGTAAAAATAAATCAGAGATACAAATCCTAAAATATAATAAAAAATAACTTAAAAAAATTAAACTAATAAAAATTTAGTTCAAAAAAAATTATTTCCACATCATAGCTTTTGAAGTCGGTGCTAAGACAGCGTATTGATGAATTAAAGCGCCGACTTCAGAAGTTATTATGAAAAATTATTTTTTTTGGTTGTTTTTTAATATTGCCTTATTTATTTATTTTTACCTTTTTAGGTGGCGTAAGGAACATCACAAGTTCTAGGTAATAACTAGAATGTCTTCTAAATATTTACAATAAAAAATTCATTCCCTGTTTGACCATCTTTAATAGTTAAATGTTTCATAAAATTTATATTGGACCATCATAATATAATCCATTTATTAAAGAAGCATCACTAAAATCAAATTTGCAGTTTCCGAGAAATCGGTGAACCACAAAGAACATTAGCTATGAATATAAAACTTCCTAGTTTTTGAACTCTGAAACAATAATACTTACCTAAATTATAAATTGTAATAAATTTTGTTTCAATTGGCATATTTTAGGGTTTGAAAATACATGTAATACAAAGTGGTGGTTCTGAAATTATAGCCAAAGTGTAGAAATACGACCTGGTAAAACATGTAGGAAATCGATGCATACAGGTGGCTCGGAATTATGTTTTGTGAAGTTCCTTGAGAGGGTGTCTATATTCATTAAGACTTGTTGAAGGCTATTTTGATGATGGATAAACCTTTAACACATTTATGGGTATAAAATCAGTGCCACATTCAAATGCGTAGAGCACATCAGGAACTATTAGTAAGCGACTAAGGAAAGGCATCGAAATTTTTCCTTTCCCATAGAAGAGCAATAATTGAATCGGTAATTAATTTCGTGAATCCCTCGTGATTATTTAGTTTTGATGTTTGAAATTCAACTTTGACCGAATTTATTTACGAATTCTACTTTTTATGACGTTTAATGAGTTTGACAATTTTTTAATGTTAGTGTTGTTAATGTAAAGACTCATTGCAAGTCACCAATAAACCAATACCTGATGCCACCTTACATTCGGGATTATATACGGAACAGATCGAAATAGTTAACGCAAATGTAGATTTAACATTCAGATACGCTTCAGTTGTTGTTCGATGATGGGATGTCAAAAAGATTTTCGTCTCATTTACTCTCATGGAAAACTTTAGTGTACTAAGACGCAACGGAGACGAAGTAACTCCACCGAAAATAGAACGATCGCAGATTCCTGGGCTAAATCTCAAATATCCAGACGGGAGCGCCATCTGAGCCAGTTAAAACAGTCAAGCGAAAAGTTTCCGAGCCCCACTTCTTGTCTGAACGTCTGCCAGTGAAGACCGGGAAGGAACCAACTAACACCACAAAAATGGTGAGTCATCTTTGAAGCCAGTGCAACTGTGAAAAGGAGTTCAGTGTTAAAAGCATCGTTACTTAATACAAGTGATATATCTCGCTCAATCGTTCAATCATATATACATCGCGGTAAAAACTCGTGGTACAATATTCCGCAGACCGGAAGCTCGCGAGCGTCCGGCTTAGAATATCTTATAAACCAGTGAAGTGCTTAAAGGACAGTGAAATAACATGGTATTACATTCTCTGGATTAATTCTTTATACACACAGATCTGTCAGAACACTAACTAATGCACACAACATCTGTAATATCGTTACAATTGTAACATGCGAATAACGAAATATTTTAATCATTTTTCAGAGCGACCTCAGCAAGAACGACATCGAAAGTGAGTATTAAATTTCTCTCTTTAAATAATTTAATTAATTTGACATATAAGACACGCAGCATAAAAGTGGTGCTTTATTTTTTATTTATAAAACTTTAATCAGCTGAAATGTTCTACAGAAGAAAAATATTACATTTTTTTCAAATGATGGAAATCTATCGATCACAAGTTTTCAAATTTTATCTAAGGTTACGTAGAATATTCTTATTTGTTATAAGACATAAATTAAGAAGTAAGCTCGGTTCTGGTCATAGCGCAGACTTAGGTAAAATGTTCACGTTGCTTAGAGATGTCGGTCCATCGCGGTTGTACCGAGCGCGATGTTCCAAAATTAAACTGTTGCGTCACGTGATCCAATACCCGCCCGCCCAAACAGAGAAACTGCTCAGATTTCAGTGCGAGCGCGCTTACCGATTTTTGGCAAACGTCCGTGTAGTGTCGATAATGATGATGGAAATGCTTTATTAGCTTATTTCTTCGCAACTTATAATTAATTGGTCAATATCAAGGTTAATTTTAGATATATTAATCTTATAATAAAGTCACTGACTGATGTAGTAACAGGTGTTGTTCCTTATTTGTACTTAACTTAGTAGAATATAGGTAACTTTTATTTGTTTAGACTTGATGGATTTATTTCAAACTCGTGTAACAAGTTAAAATTATTTATGTTAATTGTTATAAAAGTTTTCAACCGACAAAAATGTTTTTAGTATGACGTTTTACGCCTGATTGAAACTGGGACACAAACACAATCGGGATAATATAAATAGACTGTGACTCACGTGCTTATCGGGAATATATTGGAACATTTAGGAAAGGATAATCATTTCTGCTCTCCTCTAATCTGGGCTCGCCTACGTCAACTCGCTTCATACTTGATTTAGTTGCCGTGACTTTTCGAGAATATTTTTGCTGCCATTTTAACATAAATGACATATTATGACGAAGCTACTAATTTATCAATAGTTGTAATGATGATTAGAAAACTAAATAAAAAATAATAACTTTATTAAAGTTTAAAGTCCGCAATACACATACATAAGTACATATAAAAGATTATCTTTTTATTTCAAATATAAATATTTAACAAATCATTACAAGCAATACAGCCAATTTACAAAATATTATGGCCTTGCTCAAATAATTTGTAAATAGGACGTCAGGACTTTTTTTAAAGAAATAATTAAACAAAAGGCATTTTAAAGTGACTTTTATTTTTCAAAAGTTTCTATCACATAAATAGCGTTTACAAATTTATTTATTTATTAATAATTTTATTCATTGCTTAGGGGCATCCTTCGCCTTCTCCATCTACGACTTCGATGGAAGCGGCAAGATCGACGCGTACAATGTTGGTGACGTACTGAGGGCGCTCAACTCCAACCCCACTCTTGCCACCATTGAGAAACTCGGTGGCACAAAGAAGAAGGGCGAGAAACAGCTTACGGTATTTAATTAACATTTTTTGTCATCAATATTCATCCTGCAAAAACAAAGATCAACATTTGGAGCAACATATTTTACAAACAGAAATGGACATATTATCCTGCAAAGACCGATTATAACAATTATGATAAAAATATGTTATCATATCTATTAGAAATAAAATGAAAAGAAAATTGCATGTTTACGAATAATTCTGATCAATATAATATATATTCTGTACAATACAGTATCGTTATTACTAGTATTATGTTGCACATCAACCATACCTTCAAGTGTAAGCATATCTTCAACTATGTAACCGTCTCACACTCTTATAAAATTATGCAAAATGCAACATGCCTTTACAATATTTTTTGCAACTGGCAAACTGACACTCATGGGGGTATGAAATACTCTAAATTTGTTTGACATAATGTCGAATGTGGATTCAATGTATCTTCTTGCACAACTTAACCGATATTAAATATCTTTTTTTTAACTAGTCGTGTTCCTACGGGTAGTAGATAGATATGCCAAAAGCACCATCTCCAACAATCACATGTTGAACAGGTACATCTGTGCTGGGCAGAGGTTTGGATTAATTCCTCCTCTGAAAACCTCTGATTCCTATATATTTATGAAACTTATATATTTGTTTTTTTTTAATATTTTTACACTACTTTTTTGGTTTTATACAGTACTTATGAGCTTATAACACATCTGTGGCCCCTGCTATTTTAGATTGACGAGTTCCTTCCCATCTACGCTCAGTGCAAGAAGGACAAAGACCAGGGCTGCTATGAAGACTTCTTGGAATGTCTGAAGCTCTACGACAAAGCCGAGAATGGCCTTATGCTTAGTGCTGAGCTGACACACACCCTCCTCGCATTAGGTAAAATTTATTTATATTTTATAGCGAAATTTGGACTGACACAAGTTAAGGAATTATATAAGATTCTTAAGTTGATCAACGACAGCGCAGCGTTTCAATTTACAATTAACGTAGTTTTACTAATAGCAATTTGGATTCTAAACGGGGTCTTTTCTAACAATTCTTTAATATTCAACTTTGCTTACGTCCACCAACATTAAATGATATCAATAAAACTGGAAAATTTACATATTGTGTCTTACGTAATTCCGTGGTAGAAAATTAAGAAGTAAATTAAATAATAGAAATAATAGCAACGTATGTTACTTTAATCTATTAAGGTAAATACAGGACTCTATTATACTCGTAGAGCCAGTTTTCCATATTATTATAGGCTTGTAGTTTGCCACAATGTTAGACAAATCCACAAGAGTACATAGATTTTTGTCCCATGTCATAACTCTATATATTCGGTTTTTATTTTATATCATTTAGGCAACCCTACTCACGAATTTATGGACTAAAGTATATTTTAAATTAGTTTTTTTAATTAAATATTTAATGAAATATGTATACTGTGTAAAATTAAAAAGCAAAGGTACAGCCTAAATACGTTTTTTTATGAAAGAGGACGCAAACGAGCATACCGCGCGGCGCAAGTGATGGTAAGTGATTACCGTCGCCCGTGAACCTCTGTAAAACCAGGGTATTTCTAAGTGTGTTGCAAGCCTTTTAGAAACGAGAAGTTTACTTTCTTGAAGGTACCTAAATCGTAGCGGTCCGGAAAACTGCTGGCGACAGTGAATCCCACAGTGTTGTCGTGCGTGAAAACAAATCGGCCGTCACATTTCTGAGAGGGTTTTAGGGCAAGAAATTGTATAACTATTCATTTGTAAATATGTATATCTACAACCTATATATACGTCCCACTGCTGAGCACAGGTATCCTCTCATTTCTGAGGGGATTATCGAGCAACCGATCGTAACCAGGTTGCTCGCGTACTATGAAATATACGACAAGCGCTTAATTCCTGCGCCACCTTGGGCCATATAATTTTTTTAATTAAAAGAATATTAACAATGCTATAAACATTACTAATATTCCCCTTACCACTCGTGGTAAGCTTGAATTGCTTGTGTTACGAGTGGTTCACGCCAGTAGTTGAATGGTGGATTCGAACCCACGACCTTTTTGGGTTCCCGGTCCGCGCCCTGCCAATAGGCTACTGTCGCTAGTGCGATGTGCGATGACGAAATTTATGCAATATTTCCACATATGCTTCATCAATCTTTGCGTTACGTTAATGACTGGTAATAGGATATTTTTTTAAGTTTCTGAGGAATACTTGCCTACAATCTAATCACTTGCTACACAAAGTCGCGGTTCGGTAACAAGTCACATTATGTAATTGTTTATAGGTGAGAGACTTGAGGACAGTGAAGTAGCGGAAATCATAAAGGATTGCATGGACCCCGAAGACGAAGACGGTATGATCCCATACGCATGTAAGTATAAATCTAAAAGTATAATTGTTTATTACATATTGGTAGATTTTAGTGACGTTATTGTAAACAAGTGATAAAGTATCCTTTCTTTGGCCACGTATTCGCAAGTATTGATTAATGTGACCAATTTTTTCCCTTTGTATATATATACCAAATTTTCTTAAAAAAGAAATGCTGTAAATACATGTTGCAGTACATGCCGTAAGATAAATCCAGTTTGTAAGTACTTAATCCAAAACCTGTCATTTATGATGATTAATTGTAAAAAAATACATTCAGCATTTCTTAAGTGTCTGTAGTAAACGTATCAATTTTATGAAAGCATGTATTTGTAAAGAAAACTCCACCTTTTTTTAGTTTCTTAAAGTCCTAAACAAAAGCATGTATTTGTAAGATAAGTCCACCTTTTCGTGGTTTCTTTAGTAGTTTTCTAAGTCCTATCGTAAAGCCTTTGTAAATTAGATTAGATCAGTTATAATAACCTCCTCACTGAAGAGGTGGTCAAACACATTTTTTGGGCATGTCTATGTAGTAAATTTGTTTGTGTGTGTCCCCGTGTCTGACAATTTATCCGTTTACAGCATTCCTGAAGAAGGTCATGGCGTAGAAGATCACAAGTATCGTCATATCTTTAGTTATAAGATCGTAAGTGCAAAACAATAGCCCGCGTACTTTACGCGCTTTCGCAAAAAGGCTTTTATCACTTTGAGCTACAATATCTCTCATCTTTCTTAATACTTCTTGGTTTTATTATTTTAACACCTGCACATTCTTACTTCAATATGTCCTTGGGAATTTAAATTTTTTCCCAAACTTCAGCTAAAATTTAACATTATTTACTTTGTTACAGTAAATAAAACTTTCTTGTCATACCTGTAGGTAACGGTATAATATTGAAAAATTAATAAATTGCTTCTTGAGTTATTTTCATTTCAAATGCGTATTGTTTTGGATAACTCGATAATTTATTTTACATAAAAATGTTTTTAATAGCAAGCATAATTCAAAGATTTATAATATGTAATTGTGTGACATTAACGTATTTCATAAAAACTAATGTATTAAGCTTTGTTATACTTGTCGGGCTATTTATGTTCACTATTTAAGAACTAGCACGAATAGCTTTAACCAATGATTATAACATAAATCTATGGTTGCCAGGTTTTCTTCAAAGACTGTGCAACAAGACAGTGACAGCTTCGGAGCCTGCACCGGCCGAGAGCTAAGCGACCCACCATCAGTGACCACCGCCGTATGCACCATCTTAAATACGGACAATCCCCTTTTTATACGACAACATCATATTATTATGTGAATCATTTTGTACAACTCTCAGCCTGCCTGTACATAATAAAGTAAGATTAAAGAAAGTACTGTAAATGCGCGTTGTACGTGTCTTTTTAAATTTTATTATTATTTATTTAAGTACATTTATAATGACAAAACACAAAAAACCGTAAATTATTTTATAATAAACTATTAAAATTTCTGCCGTGTATTTATCTTCAATTGATTTATGGCAAAAAAACAAATGTCGTAAGAAACAAAGATATTGAAAAAAACAAACACCTGTCAAATGATACTCTATAAAATATTACTCGACTTAAAGTAAGTGATATCTTTATTACTTTGATTTGTATCTCAATGCTCTATCATATTTTCTCGATTATTTCCTGATTAAAAGATTAAAAATATTGAAAAAACCATTTTATCAAAATGCTGTTTATAGTTCTACAAGCTAAAAATACGAAGCAAACAATAAATATCAATAATAACGATAAGAACTTTAGTAGTAACAACATATTGAATAACAGAATTGACAAGGCTCTGGCGATCGACAAATGACCTATGTCCATTTGCAAACCCATACCAAACCAAAATAGTAGAAGTAAGGGTAAGGAGCATCGCCAGTTCGAGAGTCCTCCAGACCGAACTTTCGGTCACGGCGGCCAGCTTCAACGGAGATTAGTCATCGGCGCAGGACAGGATTGTAGTGTCCAAGTGTATGCGCAATCACAGGTGCACTCTATTCCCTCACTCTTATAATCCGATGGGACGGTAAACCTACACGACCGAAAAAATATCAAGCGCAAGACCAAGGGCTTTACGTGCTTTCCGAGGCACGGGGGTGAGACACCGCCAACTTCCTGATTTCGGGCAGCTACTGAGAATTTCTTGACGGTGAAACTCAATAACTGATTTTTTTGACCCGACCCGGGATTCGAACCCAGGACCTCATGATCAGCAGTCGCACTAGTTCGACAGTATCGATGTTGTATTTACCAATCCGCCTGCCCTGAGTGATTTTTTTAAATACTCAAGTGAAGTTACAAATGTACAACGGTTCACCTAATGGTAAGCCCATTGATACCATACAAAAAGATACCGACACAGAGCAACACGGCATACGCAGGCTCTCACGTCTGTCAAAGCATAAGTCCACGTGGTCCAATGCGTACACTAAAACTAGTTGCAGGTGTACCGCTCACTGGACTAAAACTAGAGTCGTGTCTCGTCAGCAATGCAAAGTCAGAAATTAGGATTTAGCAAAATCCAAATTTAGGGCTTTTTAGGTGCTAATTAGGTGCCAAATTTTAAAATTAGGTTCTCTAAAATTTTCACCGCAACAAACTGTTGTGTGTTGCTGGCAAAACGTATCGCTAGTAACGCAGTGACGATAATAGACTATATACGATAAATATTAATAGCAAGAAATTAAGTACTAATTAAGTGCTGAAAGATTATTGAGGTCGGATGTAGATGATGGAAATATTCTGGGAATTGTTGGCTCCAGGACTACCATTACATTACTATAAGGTATGAACGGCATTTTTTGTTCTTTATCAGTATTATCAGTTACATATTATAGATAAGATAGCTCGAATCGGTTCCAAAACCGAATTAGAAAACCCCGACTCCACGTAGTCCTGTCTGCCCTACCCTTAGAGTATTTTGAGAGCCCCACCCGCAATAGCAAATCGCAGGCAGGCTGTCCCTCCCAGGTAATTTTGAAAGTTTTTTCTTTTATAAAACCGACGTGACGAATTTACATTTCTCCTGTTGGTTATTGGTTACTGCCGTCCATGAACGCATACGGCAATCTTAAACAAAGAAGGCTTCAGACGTGTTGTCGCTTCTGAGAAATAAGGTGTTATCAACTATATATTATGATTGTAGCACGAATGGGTCGGCTCGACAGGAGAAGGACCACGCTCTCACAGAATACCAGCGTAAAATAGCAGCTTAATACTGCTGTGTTTCGTATGGTGAGTGTGGAGATCCGGAGACCCTGTTTTACTGGAAATGAGGCATTCCGTCTTAGTCCTCAGGGGTGACAACGCATTTGCGTTTTGATTCTTAATCGAGGATAAATGTAGATGTCTATGGGCCACAGCATCCACTTACCATCAGGTGAACTGTGTGCTCGTTTGTCACCCTTATTCTATAATTAAAAAACACAGCCTCTAATACCGGCTTTCTTCTCTTAATCGTCAAACGGGAACGCAATAGTTACAGTTTAGCGGCAAAATATGTAAGTGGGTAACATTTGCAATCGAAGTTTATGCGGGTAATAAGTCCATATTACTCGTATATTATACCAAGTCTCCCGATTATACTAGCTTATCTATGTACCAAGTGGTGACGATGTAAGACATAACATATATAATCTATCAGCCTATGCCATAACTCTTGGCTTCCGAAAAACGGCGGTATAAACATATCGTAGCGTCAAAAGTGTACGACGTCTGGTTCCGATAGATGGTGGTATAAAATATCGTAGCATCAAAAGTGTGAGACGTCTGGTTCCGATAGATGGCGGTATAGACATATCGTAGCCTCAAAAACGTGAGACGTCTGGTTCCGATAGCTGGCGGTATAAACATATCGTAGCGTCAAAAGTGTGAGACGTCTGGTTCCGATAGATGGCGGTATAAACATATCGTAGCGTCAAAAGAGTGATACGTCTGATTACGATAGATGGTGATATAAACATATCCAAGCGTCAAAAGTGTGAGATGCCTATCGTCCGATAGATGGCGGTATAAACATATCGTAGCGTGAAAAGTGTGAGACGTCTGGTAAATGTGATCGTCAATTCGCCTTCTAAGCATGACAACAGGCACAGAGTACCTTCGTAACAACAGGGAATTACTATGTTTAGTAGTGGAACTTATGAAGGGTTGTAATGATGATGATGATGATATGGTGTAATGGTGACGTAGTATCACTATACAAAGGAACTCACTATATCTCTATTTTAACAGTGGTAGAGCCACGCGGCAGCTTTGCTGTTGCACGTATGGGCCGGCTCAAACCGGGGTGGTACCACGCCTCACAGAATACCGGCGTGAACTGGAAGCTCTGCTTCCGCGTTTCGTCTGGTGAGTGCAGGTGGCCGGAGGCCCAAATCCTCCCCCCATCAACATGGTAGCGGAATTAAATAATGATCGACTACCCCAGGAGGGTACCAGCACCCCTGGAGAATCCCTCGCTGAGCATTCACGACCATGTTTCTCCACTTCTGAGCGTGGGTGCTCAGGCTGCCCTGCGTATTCGGGGGGGGGGGGGGGCAAAATTCCGCTCATGACTACAATTGGTCGGGGCAAACGGAGCAACAAGACCAAGGCGACCCCTGCCACGCTGTCCGTGAATTTCTGCAATATCAGGGGACTTCACTCTAACCTAAACGCCGTCCACTACCATCTCGAGACGGCGAGTCCGGCTCTGCTCTTTCTGACCGAGACGCAGGTGTCCTCTCGGGCTGATGTCTCGTATCTCTCCTACCCACCCCGGGTACAAACTGGAACACTCCTTTGTGCCTCGGGCTGGAGTTTGCGTTTACGTCAGAGAGGACATCTACTCTCGACGCCTCGGCAGACTTGAAGGTTCGGACCTGTCCATCCTTTGGCTACGCGTAGACAGCGACGACCATCCGCGCGTCTACGGGTGCCTCTATAGGTCCCATAGCGGTAATGCCGAAACAGACCGACTCTTCGACCACGTCCAAATGGCTGCAGATTCGTTGCTACAGCAGATCCCCTCCGCAGAGATCGTGATCCTCGGCGACTTTAACGCCCATCACGCCGAATGGCTTGGTTCACGTTTAACCGATCATGCGGGGAGATCTGTTCATGATTTTGCCTTGGCATATGGTCTGACACAACTGGTTACTTCGCCTACGCGGATTCCAGATGTGGAGGATCATACACCTTCCCTGTTGGACCTTCTGCTGACCTCTCACCCGGACGGATATCAGATTTCCGTCGACGCCCCTTTAGGCTCCTCGGACCATTGTCTGGTCCGGAGTGTGGTGCCACTCACGCTGAAATCGCGGTTGCATTCTGCAGGCTGCCGCCGTGTTTGGCGCTATAGGTCAGCCGATTGGGATGGGATGTGGTCTTTCTTTGCATCCTACCCTTGGGGGGCGGGTTTGCTTCTCGCCGGATGATCCCAACGTTGTTGCAGATTCTGTTGCCGATGTGGTACTTCAGGGTATGGAACTTTTTATTCCTTCCTCTGTGGTGCCCATTGGAGGCAAGTCTCAGCCATGGTTTGGTCGCTCCTGTAAAATAGCATCATGCTATAAGCAGGAGTGCTACCAAGCCT